ATTTTCTTCTTTTAATTAATTTTAGTATGGGGTACGATCGTCCCGTCGTCCAAACCACGAGCCGCCACTGCAAACTACATACAGTCTTTGAATACACGTTGAAATCATCTTCGCCACACCTTATGACATGCATCATTCTTATGAATGATCATAGCATCATCGCTTATTTTTTTCGGCACGTCATCAACCAACTACACTATTGGAAACTAATTCGATCTTGTGCATTATTCTTCTTTTTCCCTTTTGTCTGTTTTACTTGTTTATTAGTAAGAATAAACGGCTCTACGTTAATTTTCAATCTTGAAATATTGTGTCGCTTACATTTATTCCGTGTCAGTTTTGTATGACACTCTTTATCAATACATAGTTAATCAAAACGTAATCATTATCGCAGCTTTAGGTTGTTATAGTATTACTATACTAATAAAATACAGTGGTGGCCCAATGATTTCACCATGGAAGGGGATGAAAAACCTTGATAAAAATCATCATGAGACCTGTGTCCCCTATATCAAGGCTTTTTTAGTTTTATTACTCTCTCAAGATGTTATTATGAACTATTAGATACGTTTAAATTGTTTTTTCTAATTAAACCAATTTAGAATATTTAATTTACTTTAGAATAGTACACCGTTAAATTTACTTACTTACTAATTAGTACTAATTTATTACTCTACAATTGCCCTCTTAAAGTATATTGGTATTTGGATATGACTATTTTAATAATTAGATATTTCTCTGCCGCGCATTTTCACCTGCCTAATTATAAAAACAGTAATAATTTCCGAAGTACTGATCCAAAAATTATTTTTTTAAATATAAATTTTACATTTTTATCTTATAAGTTAGTTAAATATATATGTTACCATTTAAAAAAATAAAGTTGGTATTCTTATAAGGTATAGAAGACGAACCTAAAATGTAGTTCACCATTTATAAATTGAGAATAAATAGTACTCAACAAAATCAAAAAAAATATTTCTAAAATTATAACTTACAGAGAAATTTAGGGGTAATTGATAAATCAATCAATCTTTGAAGCTAATTAAATACCATTTAAAATTTAAACAAAATTTAATGGAGTGCATGGCCGGATAAATTAATATAAATTACAATATAATTTATTCTCAAATAAAATGTAAAAAGAGAATTTTAAACTTACGTTTTCTCATGTAATATATTCACTGTACTACACACTTATGACACTTTAATTTTGTATATTATTATATTATAACCGATTAAATTAATATAAATTACAATATATATTTAGTCTCAAATAAAATGAAAATTTAAAACTTCTATCAAACATAACAAAAATTTCTGCTAAAAAAAAAAAAAGAATAACTTTAATATAGTAAGTTTTGCTTGAATAATTAGCACTGAAAATTGCTAAATCCGAAATAATAAACAGCATACATTTTATTAATACAATTAATATTAGTATAAACAATACTAATGGGCAATAAGAAAGAAATAGAAAAATAACACAATATTAATAGCAATAATTGTAGTATTCTTGAGCGATAAATTCAAACAAACGTGTTAAGCAGACGGAACATATATTTTAAAAACGGCGACAAATTCAAATAAAGTGTAAGTTAATAAGCAAACTGGCAACGTGTGGAACTCATAAACTTTAGGAATGATTTCAACGTCATGTCCCTTTTCAGTATAAACACTAATGAAAGCAATGTTGCCAGCTTGCTTATGAAATTATTATAACTCGCGGGACACGAACGAACACAACTGAGTAACTATTGAGTGAGATTTTTTCTATCTTACAATTTGGCCGCCGAGTCACGTTCTCTCGTGCGATACACTTATTGTACTATACATTATTGACACTTTAATGTAAATTTTTCTTTAAATATTCACAAATACCTGTCTATCGAATTAAAAATAATCAATGAATTTGTTCTGTAATTTTTAATTTCTTGTTCTAATATATTTATGATTATTTTTACCATTAGACATTTCTCGGCCGCGCATTTCTCTCTACCTATGTATAAAAATACACTTTTCGAAGTTCTGATCCAATAGTTATTACCGATGAGTAATTTTTTTAATTAGACCATTTTTAATTATATAATTAAGTTAAAAATGTATGTTGCCATTAAACAATAAAGTTTGTACCTTTATAAGGTGTAAGGACAGACTGAAAAAGTATTTAACGACTTAAAATTGGAGAGATCAAAAGTACTCAACAAAGCTAAAAAATATATTTCTAATAATACAATTTTAAGAGAAATTTAGTGGTCAATGATAAATGAAGCACTATGTAAATCTATTTAAATAATAAATTAAAACTTATTAGCAATCATTTAGTCATCAATTTTATATATATATGAAGTTTTTGTATGTACACAGTTTTGTAAACAATTATTTATATTTTTAAATTTTCAATTAAAAATTATTGAAATGTATAACCGATTAAATTATTATAAATGATATTATATATATAATCTCAATTAAATGTAAAAAAAAATTTTAAAAATCTATCAAACATAACAACAAACATTTCTGCTAAAAAAAAAAAAGGATAATTTTTATGTAGTAAAAGTGTTGCTTGAATGATGTGTACCGAAAATTGTTAAAGCCGTCATAATAAACAGCGTACATTTTATAAATGCAATTCATTTACAATACTAATGGTGAATAAATAAGAAATGGAAAATTATACAATCGGACTGTCTATTAATAGCAATAATTTTATTATACTTGAACGACAAATTCAAACAACCGTTTTCGGGAGACGCAACATGTATTTTAAAAACAGAGCGATAAATTCAAATATAGAGTAAGTTAATAAGTAAACTGGCAACGTGTGGAATTCATAAGCGTTAAAAATGATTTCAATGCTCTCCCTTTTCATTATGCAGACTAAGTGAAAGCAACGTTGCCAGTTCGCTTATGAATTTCTACACCGCGGGCCCGAGAAATCACAACTGAATAACTTTTGAGTGAGATTATTTCTATCTTACAATTTGGCCGCCGAGTCACGTTCTCTCGTGCGATATATTTATTGTACTATACATTATTGACACTTTAATTTTGTTCATCTGAATATTTGAATTTTTCGCTCTTACTACTTGCCTTGATTCACTTTAGTATTCATCTTCACAAAAACCTGTCTATCGAATTAAAAATAATTAATGAATTTGTTGCCGATTTATTGTGTAATTTTTAATTTCTTGCTCTAATATATTTATGATATATTTTATCATTAGACGTTCAAGATCGTGCATTTCCATCTGCCTAATTATAAAAATACTAATAATTTCCGAAGTACTGGTCCAATAGTTATTATGAAAGAATCTTTTATTAAACTAAACCGTTTTCTATTTTACAAGTATGTTAAAAATGTAAGTCGCCATCAAAAAAAAAAACAAATAAGTATGTTCCTTTATAAAAAATAAAGGTGGAACCTAAAAAGTATTTAACCATTTATAAATTGAGAGATAAATAGCACTCAACACAGCCAAAGAAAATATTTCTAAATTATTACTTAAGGAAAAATTTAGTGGTTAATGATAAATCTATCACTGTAAAGTTAATTAAATACCACATTATATATATATATTAAATATTTTTAGTAATATTTCACACAATTTTTATCATACGGTTTTATATATTATATTTTAAATTAAAAGTTATTATAGTTATAATAACTAATTTAATCGATTATAATAATCGATTAAATTATTATAAATTATATTACATATATAATCTCAAATAAAATATAAAAAGAAAATTAGGCCGTATATTAAAATGGACACACCCCAAAATAGAAAATAATAATTTAGTTTCATGAGAGATCTATTCAACAAATGCTTACACAGACGTACACTGTGTACAGTAGTAATCACAAGTAGACGGTCGCTGGGTCGATGCGTACGTGATTCGATTCCGGGAACGATAGGGATAAATCAGCGTCGTAAAGAGAACGTGTTGGTTGTTATTGCGGCGGGCATTGGTCGCCGGCCGTTGTTGGACTTAACACCACGACCATAACGCGGTGATAACGGTAAGGTTTGCAATGGTGCGCGGTGGTTTAGAAGGAACTGGCACGTCCGCTGGGTGACCACATGCGTAACAACGCCGTGGCCGTTTCAATTCATAAAATAATAAAAAAAATATTAAAATAACAGACTTAAGATGTTTTCATTGAAACTTTAGCGCGAATTTAACGAACGCTGGATGACAGATTTAGTTTACGCGATTTTTTCTTGGTATTTAATTTTTACTGTGACATTTTCTCAAATCAACTACGATTGTTTTAAATAATTTTTTCGAGACATTCGTCATTTTTATAGCGTCAAGAAAACTGTCAAGACTGTCGTTTTTCTCTAATCATTCTGACATTTACTTATATCTCAAAAGTTCAATAAAATTTCTGTACATTTAATATCATGTTTAGAATAAATTAATAAATAGCTATTTTAATTAATTTTAATTATAGCTCATTATTATTTTTTAAAGATGAACATACAGTTTTTATTCTTAAGTGTAATACAAAATACTTCTGTATTTCAATATTTAAAATGGTGCATATTATGTATATGTTTCAACATTTTATACACCTAGAGAAAAACCTCGATCTATATAATAAATTCATTGTTCAATTTGATAAATATATCATTACTATTGAACCTATGATATATTTATCAATATGATAATTTTTTTCTTGTCTTGAATAATAATTATTCATAAGAATAGTTATTTTGTTCGTATTAATAAAACATTATCATAAACCCTTGATAAAATTTCTCTATCAAAATTGATTGAGGTTTTTCTTTGGGTGTACATTGTATTATTATCTCTTAAGAAATTGTTAATTTAAAGTGAAAATCTTTCTATTGGGCTACTTAATAATTTAGATTTGTCAAACATTTTAAGTTAAAAAGGATTACATTGATTTGAATGGGAATTATTTTTCAATAGTTAAAATTTTAAATGAATGTAAAGTATTAAGTTTAAAGATTTTCATCTGTTAACAGAGTTTTATATTAAACAAAATTGTCATCCGACTCATTTGTATATTTATTTGTAATCTTTATACAGTTAAATTAACAAGATTTTATACAAATCCACCAACAAAGGACACATTTAAATCTGTGAGGGATAGACTTACAATAATCTAAGTAATTCAAAAATAACTATTACCAAATACATAAAAATATTGACACAAGTTTCTCTTTAACAAAAAACAAATCTATATAATAGATTGTCTAAAATACCTAAAAAATAAAAGATTCTTATAAAATATATCAAGATCACTGCACTATATCAAATAGTTACGATAAATCATTGTTGAAAAGTATCGTGTTTTTTTTTCAATTTCTAATATTTAAAAATATGGCTGTTTAATAAGTGTAATAAATATTTTACAAAACATTGGCATGCATTTGATCAAACATTTGAATGCTTGACAGGTTTTCTCCCTTAGCCGCAAATCACGTTATCAACCTATATGAGAGTGCATCAGATCTAAATCATAAGTGTACGGTGATTAAATTTGTCTCTGCGACACTTTAGTTCGCGAATCCTATGCCCATACCGTTTCTCTTTTTTTCACGCGATTTTCGGTTCATTATATATGACCGGTCGTGTTATACTGTAATACAAAAAGGTTCATTTTTTTATAATTTATTAAATGACTTATAAGTGTTGGTACTAAATATTAAACTGATATACTTCAATAAAAATTTTTTTTACAATTTTTCAATAATTCTTCAGTTATATGAATAAATACTTCATTGAATTCAGAATTTAATCGGTAGTGCAATAATTAATTGTCATTTATCATTTACACAAACTTTTTTTTCACCCGATATGGTAATTTATTGGCTCTTATTACTTTAACTTAATAAAATAAATCTTTATACTCTTTTTGTATATAATATTTTTATTTAAATAATATATTAAATATAATAATAAATACGATGGATTAAAAATCTATTTATTTGTATATATTGGTGTTCAGTAAGTAAAGTAACGGGTTTATATTGTTCTCATTGTTTGTAACAATTGACCTGTTTCCTTACTTTTTGAACATTCTGTATATTATGTTATGCTTTCAATTATAATTATTTTTTCGAGTTACATTATAAATAACTGCGTCGGCACAAGATACAGTATCTTGCACAAAACAGTAGCATAATTAGAGTTTTTTTTTTAAGTGGGTTATACATAAAAACATTTTTTATTACCCTCTGCAAACAAAAAATAAATTTATTTTTAACATGTAATCAATTTTACTTGGGAGGATCTATACCAGTTTAACTTTATCTCTCCTGGTACAAAGCATAACCTAACGTCGGCACTGATTAATAATATTTTCCAAAACCATTTGTCTTCGTATGAGCGATACGATTTGTACTTTTTTTTTAAAATGCATAATTAACAATTTGAAAAATTTATTTCAAGTAAAGTATATATAAGCCTCATTCCTTATCATTATTGAAAAAGACACTGAGTTTTTTCAGTACTGATAAAATATTTTAGTACATTTTTAATTACTATAACACATTTATTAGAACTAAAAAGAAACTTTTTAATTATTTTCAGAAAACTTTTTTGGTGCTTAAAGTGGCTACCATTAAAAGCTTGAGTGCATGTGTAAGAACAACATTTGACTAGAACTCTGCAAGACCAGAGTTTTCAAATTTTTTTTTCGCCGTGAAACAACGACCATTTAATAAGCTTTAAATTTTAAAAGTACTTCTCGGTAAGAATATTAAATTATAATAAATATGCAAATATTATATAATAAATACATATTACATTATATTTTATTATTTTTTTTATCTATTACGATATTAATTATTACTACTTATTAGAATTTGTTACACACAAAAAAAAAAAATACATGTATACATATATATTACAATTATATTATATAATAATTATAATTATGGAATATTTATTAATATTTCTTTTATTTCCATAATATTTATTTAGAAAATAAATAACATTTTTAGTATTTATAACAAAGACACTTATTGACTTACAAGCATAAAATATAATAATTAAAAAAAAAAACAAACTAAAATATGTGTTAATTCAAAATATAATAATTTTTAACAGCATTGTTTCAGCATTGGACATGAACTAATATAAATAAATTTATTATAACAAATAGTTTCTTAATCAATTATGACCTAAAAAAATTATAAATTTTTTTTTTAATTGTTAAAGTTAAATATCAAGTGAGAAAATAGGTTCATTAGTGTTATTAATTAACTATGTTTATTTGTAGATGAGGCTAAATACTAATTATATGTCCTTTATAAATATGTGTAAATTACACTTTATGTTATTTGAACGCGCAACATATTTCAGGGGGTCGAACGGTTGGGTTTTTGTCACTCGACGGCAACACGTATACGTCGCAGCGGTCGAGCGGCAATGGCGTATACTTTGGTAGTTATTATTACATTAACAATATACGGGTAGTTCCAAATTGGATTTTAATAGAAGGTGGACGACAAGGCGCATCAGACAGACAATAGGATATATGTTGTATAAATTATGTCTAAAAAGGTAATTTAAGCTTCACTATTAAGAAATTACTTGACACTTAAAATTATGGAACATCAGTTCATAAAATTGTATCGTTATCACTTTTCAAAGAATAAGAAAAAATTAATAAAGTATTTGACAATGTTTTTAAAAATTTTAATAAATCTATCCCTGTGCCACAAGAAGTTGTCCAATATTTAGTGTGTGCAAGGACCTTTATACTTATAAGGTTAATAAATGCACAATGTGTTGAAGATTTTGAAGTTTTAAAAAGGGCCATAAAGATTTTACCAACTCAAAATTGATAGACCACTTTTAATGCCATTCTTATTTCCCAAATGAGAGCACTAAGGGGATCAAAAATAAAATAAAATCACGATGCAATAACTTGCATAAATTAGCTGAAAAATCATAGAAATATTCACAACGTGCGATATATAAAATAATATGTATATATAAATGGTTACACTAGGTAACATTATTTATAAAAAAAACGAGTATTATGAATATATTAAAGATCACAATATAAATTGTGTTTAAAGGATTTTAAAGGAAGTGTAAATTTGTTGTTGGAATATACAGTGGCGTAAAATTTTTTGGTTTTAGGAGAAAATAATTCTTTTAACACTCCAACAGTGTATAACCAGTTAGATCACATTACTAACAAAATTTATAAATGTGTGTAAATCCGCTCTATAAAAATAATAATAATAAAAAAAAATATATATATATATATATATATTTATAATTTTAATAATTAATACAAGTTTTTAAATAATTTAAATTCTACTTATTATCATTATATAAACTTCGTCCAATAAGAATGAGGCCTTTTAAGCTGCTATTTAATTTTTACTGATAACAAAAAATCAGATCTGCAATAACAAAGTACATTTAACCCATGAATCTATGGTCTATGACATATAAGAACTTTAAAGTAGAGATTTAAAAAAGCATTTATAGTCATATATATGTATAGAACTTGTCTATGTATAAACTTTACTTGAAAGTGTAAAGTAGATAACGATTTAAAGTTACGTAATAATGATTAAATAAATAAATTGAATGAGACATACTATAAGTAATGTCTCTAAGAAAATCTATCAAAGGTATTAACACATACCGTTTTCAGTAATAAGTTATATTTTTTTCTTAGTATTAACTAAGTTTATTTTACTTAAAATGTGGAATGATAAAGATAAAAGTAAAGAAGAAAATTTACCCAGTAAGTAAACAACTATTTTTATTTGAAAACGAAAAATACATTTTATATTTTTATATCCTAATTAATAATTTTTTGGTGTCTAATAGTAGTTTAACAAAAATACTTAATTAAAACTTAAGGAATACCAAGTTAACCTCTCATAATGAAATTGAAGCTAAAAGTGACCACTAAATAAAGAATTGTCTATTAAAATTAATTTTTAAACACCACATTTTTTGATAATTGATATTTTAATGTTAAATATTTTTATCAATTATTAAATTATTATCAGTTTAATAATCGAAATTTATTTTCAACTTATCTGCTAAAATGAACTTATATTTTAAAGTGTTACGAGGTAAGTTCGAACTCTCCTCCCTAGAAGCTTAAAATTATCTAAATTTTATTATTGTATAGAGGCGTATGGAAATATTTTCTTATGTTCCCCAGGATAAAATCTAAAGTACTTTATTGTTTATACTTAATTTAATTTTAGGTGTAATGGTTTCAAATCAATCAAGATTATATAACCATACATTGAATAATCATACAATATGCTTAGAAGAATTAAGTATAAGTTTAAAAAAAACATTTTTTGTTTCTAAAATGCCAATCAATGTAAAAGTAAGATTTTTTTATTTTATTTTTCAAATATTCAAAAATTGATTCATTCATTTTTCTTATAGATTGATGTGACTAATAGAAACATTGATGAGTTATTAAATATTGATAATAACGTGTTAAGTAATATTTTAAAAATATTTTCTATTATTTGTTCTGAAATAACAGATTTAAAAAATAATGTTAGACCAAACTTGTTCAACTCAATACTTTACTATGAAGACAATGGTGAGTATTTTAAGCTTTAAATGGATTCTATTTAAGGAAATGCTTTGTTTTTGAAGCCACTTCTCACTGTTTGATGACAGAATTTTCAGTGAAACAAAAGATGAACAATTCATGATTTCTAGGATATGTTCAAAATATTGTTTCTTTGGGTGTTCTCTTGATGTCTTCGCAGTTATTTTTTTTTTCGAAGATGTTGATTATAAAGTCATTGTGTCGGATGATGTGTCTGATTAACTTTATTTTTCTTGACTCAATCACCTTCATCAGCTGTCTTTCTTCTTGTACTTTTTCTAGCACTTGCGCTCATTTCTTTTCTTTTCTATCTATTTTGTCTTTTTCATTTTTATCCATATCCATAACTAATGTTTCTAGTTTGCTTCTATCTTGTTAATTGTCCATGTTTCACTACCATATAAAAGCACACTCCAGAAAAATATTTTCACGAATCTTTTATGTATGCCAATGCTTTTGGTGAGAAGCTGATTGTTATTTTAGAACTTTTCTCCTTATTCTTGCTTCTTTTACCAATCCATTTACATTTAATTTTGTTATTTGATCCTTATATAAGTTGAAGATGAGCCTTCTATCCAATCAATTCCTTTTTCTCTTAATTTCTAGAATAAGATTCACCACCCAACCTTGTCGAAAGCTTTTTCTAGATCTATAAATAAAATAAACTAGTATTTCTATTATTCCTGTTTCTTTTTTGTCACTTAGTTCTCCTAGAGACTTTTTAGATTCACTTCTCAGTATTTCTCTGTTCCTTAATTTGTTTCTTCTTTCTATGAATTCAAGAATTTGTATAGATATTCTTCGTTTTCTTTTATTTTTACCGATTATTTTATCTGCAACTCTAATTATATCTTCATACTATCCTAGCTTTTTTCTCCTTTATTTCTATATTCCTTTGAAATTCTTTGGTTATATTTTGGTCTTTTAGTTTTCGAATGCACCATTTTTTCTTTTTTGTTACTTTGGTTCTTTTCTTAAATTTGATGTTGCATTATGCCATCATCAGATAATGGACACTATCAATGTCATATTCTGGGTAGGCGTAGGAAGATTTGATTTGATTTCTAAACTTAGTTTTTATGAGTATGAAATCTATTTGATACCAGATTTTATCTTCACATGCTTTCCATGTGTATCTTCTCTTTAGTAGCACTTCAAAGTATGTATTTGTTACTATCAGTTCCTGTTATTCACAAATTTTAACAATCTTGTCTCTCTTTCGTTTCTTTTCCCTAGTCCATAATTTCCTGAGAAGTTACTTCTTTCACAGTTTATTGAGGTATTACAATCACCTGTGATAAATATGTTGTTGCATTCTGTTAGTTGCATGAGTTTTTCAATCTGTTCGTATGTCTCTTCAATTTCTTCATCCGTATTTCTAGATGTAGGAAAGTATACTTGTATAATGTTGGTTTTTAATATCTTCTTTTTCAGGAAAAAGTCATGCTATTAAAATCACCCAACAGTAGACCAAGGGTCTTGATAAACATTTTAGATTGTCTAGGTACTACTAAGTACTTTCAGATTATCCTGTGTTGTTCTCTGCACCAATTCTTGGGTAGCGCTTTGAGCGATTGCCCAGTGAGTCCTATCACTGGTTCTGATTCAATATAGGTGTTCTCTGCTCCTTTCCTGGCTAGAAAGTCAGCATTTTTATTTCCAGTGACACCGTTGTGTCCTGGTACCCACGCTGGTGTAACTTTGTTGAACCTCGATAGTGATTCTAAAGTTTCCCTTCATTCGAGAACCAGCTTTGAATTCAACTGATCATTACAGAGTGCTTTCAAAGCCGCTTGACTATCACTTAAGATAGTTATCTTCCTATTTTTGTATACCAGCAGGTTCTGAGCCCTTACCAGTATCGCCATCACCTCTGCTTGGAAAACAGAGGGTGTTGTGCCCAATGACATACTGACATTTATTCATGGCTTTAAACCCCAAATGACAGCACCTACTTTTCCTGATTTTTTGGATCCATCTGTATATATTACAAATCCTCCTTTTTCAGTCAGGTGATTAATATTCCATTCTCTACGTATAGTGATCTCCACTTTGTAGGGAATGTTATTCTTAAGAACCGGATTGATATAAACCAAGGGATATTCCAAAAAGCCCTAGTCTATCTCTTTTATTATTTTACCATGTTCACAACTTAAGTTGTGGAATCTTAGTGCTGTGGCTTTGGCGTGAGCTTTAACCTCTAGATACAGAGAAGGCAATCTGATTAGTGCCTCTAATACGACCGTTGGTGTAGTTCTTAATGCTCCAGTGATGGCTATAGCAACCATTCTTTGTATACAACTAAGTTCTTTCCTTGCTGTAACGAGTGCTGTTCTGGTCCAACAGACTAGGGCACCGTACAATATCATAGGTTTAATCACTGAAGTGTACAACCAATACATAACTCTTGGTTTAAGACCCTATGTCTTTCCAAAGGCTCTGCTGCAAGTCTACTATGTGGTCATTGCTTTTTTGATTCTTGACTCAACAAGTGATTTCCATTTTAGCTTACTATCTAAGATAATACCTAAGTATTTTACTTCCGATTTTAAGCTAATTTCTTGTCCATTCAGAGTAAGAGTGTCTAGACTGTCTAGTCCTATTCTCTTTCTAGTGAACATAACAATCTCTGCTTTATTTGAATTAACAGATAGACCGTACTTACTACACCATATCTGTATAGTGTTAAGTCTCTGTTGTGCTAAGTCAATAATAGTGTCTGGGAATTTACTCACTACTGCTATAACTAAGCCCATCCACATAGGCTTGTGTATAACAGTTTTTTTTTAACTCTTTAATAAGCGAGTCCAATACTAGACGCCATAGCAAGGGAAATAGAACCCCCACCTTGTGGTCATCCCTGTTTAACACTCTTGATTACTTTGGTTTCATTGAGCTGTCCCAAAATGGAACGTTCCTTTAGCATGGTTTCTATCGACTTAGTAATAAGTGGTTCTATTCCATGCTGTTGTGCAGATTCACACATAGCATTGAAGGGAGTGTTGTCAAAGGCCCCTTCGATGTCCAGGAATACTTTATCTTAATCAGGATATAAATAAAGAAATAGCAGATCTTGTAGCTTTTAGAATAATCCACCAATTTTTTTAAATTAAACACAATCTAAAGATTTGCATCAAAGTGTTTTTTATGATAGTAATATTAATCATTGTCAGATATAATTATACTTAATCCAACTATGCCATGTCACAACTGTGCCGTGATCCCCCTGTGCTGGGTTTTTTAAATTTGTATGACATGTTTAGATGAAAATGATCTCAATGATGGGTCTAAGTCAGTTAAAGTTAGTCAATTATTACACATTCTACTGGGATTATCAAACTTTATAAAACATTGCGAATATTTATTAAGTGAAATCCATTGTCAATTTATTAATATATTTGAATTTAAATCAATAACTGCTGGCATACATTTTCAGGTAATTGAATGTTATATATAATATTATAACTTGTGGTAAAAAAATAATCCTAAAATTTAGTAACTAAATTTAAAAAAAGACCATATCTTAAGTTAATTCATTTTTCTCAATATCTTTTGTGGTATAAATACCTAGCTACATTTTAATTTTCATAATTTCTTTTTATACACATGTTTAATTACTTATAAATGTTTAATTTGATTAGTTTTAATAACAAAATAAAAATATTTTTTATGTAAATAAGTTTGTATACTTTGTATTAATTTGTCTGTAATATGATGTGAAAATGAGTGAATCCTAAATATTCCAAACAATTTTCAAGATAATATTTGTATATTCCCTTTAATTTAAAATCTCTTTTATATGGAAAATATTTCTAGATACTGTGTTAAAATGTTTAAAATTATTGAAATAGTTGAATTTATAAATATATGATAATTTAATCTTTGAATTCTTTATACTACTTATTATATATTAGTTATTATGTGAATAGGGAATTTTTGACTACATTGGAGATCTTCTTTACATGTTTGTTGAACTAGATAAACTTATTACTTCTCAACCTGTTATACAACAACATTGGTTTCATTATCGCTGTTCTTTAAGTGTAATAAAGAAAAATCCATCAAAATATGAATGTAGCTTTGAAGATATAATAAATTTAGAAAATATATGTGACTATATCGAATCTACTTTGTTATCTGGAAAAACATTTCAAGCAAGTTATTATTTTTATCTTCCTAACAATATTTTAGTACCATCTTATATATATATATATATTTTTTTTTTAGAAAGTTCTTGTTTATGACTTTAAAGAAAAGAAAAAAATTCAAATATGCGATGATTTTGTAAATGAATTTAAACTTTATTTGAATAATGCTGTTTACTCATTAGGGCAACGTTTATATGATAAAGCTATAGATCCTTTACGTATTTGGTCTCGAACATGTACTACTACAGTTTTTTATACATATATGTTTGGTGTATTTGACAAAAAATTACTTAAACAGTTTACTGATTATTTAGAGAAAGTAAGTTATTATAAATAATCTACATTTATAATAAAAATTGATAACTCGTGGCTAATATTATTTAAAATTAAAAATATTAATTAAAAACTAAAAAATATTGAATTTAAAAAACCATAAAAAAATTACTAAAAAATTGAGGATATGTATTTTGGGAATAATGTTGCCATTATTAACGTTATACTAGTTAACAGTTTAAACTAGTTTAATAATAAATTTTTCTGTGGGCCAAGATTCCAATTAATTAAATTGTTCTAATTTTTAAAAATTTCTATTGCTTCCCTTATATTAAGTTTTTTGTAATTATTTATATTTTTAATTAGTTTTATGGTTTAAATGGAGTGATTATGTGTCAATAAATGTACAGCCTGCCGAGATATATCAACTTCTTGATGTTAAATGTATCTTAAGTGTTCTTTAAACCTGACTCCTATATTTCTTTTTGTTTGTCCTACGTAACATTTATTCAGTGTTGGGAAAGTTCCTTTTTAAATGGAACTCGTTCCGTTCCCCGTTCATTTTCTAAAATATGAACTCGTTCCAGATCCTAGTTCTTTATATTAAGAAGGAACTTGTTCCAGATCCAGTTCCTCCAAAATAAGAACTCGTTCCACTCTTCGTTCCTTTTATGTAACCAAGTTATTTAAAAAATTGTGGCAATGAGATCATGATAACGGTCATCAATGATTTTCATCAGCAGTCGAATACAAAACAAATTTGTAGTATTCCTTATCCAAAAGTATTCAAAAATTATATTTATAATCAGGTAGTAAATGCTAACGACTTGTGTCAACGCGACCAATGTCTATTGTCTACATATAAGTTAGAAATAATAAATCAGAAAACCCAAAACCTTTAATATATATTAGTTAACAAGAAACGACGATAATATTCGGTGCATTATTTAATATATGTACACATATATTAAATATTTACTGTATACCTACATGTGATAATAACTCTATTTATAGTCAATTGATTCATTTAAATAGCCTACGATCTCGGCTGGGTATATAGGGTACTTCCATTGTCAAAAGTCAACTAAAAATACCTTAATATTTTAATGTCTAGATACGAAGAAAACTACACTAAAACATGTTTATAAAAATTTTTAGGAATTGTAATTTCCGTTCACGTTCCTTAAAAAATGGAATTTGTTTATTTTCCTCGTTCCTTTATTTTAAAAGGAAGCAGTTCCTAGCATCGTTCTTTCAAAAAGAATTCGTTCCAGGAATCCGTTCCTTTTGGAACCTCAAAACTGCATTTATTACAATATTCACATTGTATTATATAAATGTCCTATTTTCCCCTTCTACTTTATCTTTAGTGTACCTAATAAATCTTTTAAATTATGTTATTAAAGTAATACCAACGTCCTCAAAAATTCTAGCTAGTCCATTTGAAATTACTGGATAATATAAAATGGGGAATTTAATTACTTTTTTTCTCTCGCACTGACGAGTGTATTAGCTGCCCTCCTTTCTATATTCCACTTTTGTGTTCAGTCTAATTTTTGAAATTACATTTTCGTTATATCCATTAAATCTAGCTATTTCCCTTTTAACCCCTAGTTCTTTATCAAAATATATTTTATTCATTGGAATATTAACTAATTTGTAAACCATACTTTTAAAAAGCTGCTATTTTGTGTTGGCAGCTGTGGTTCAAATTGTTCGAAATGTATTTAAATGTGTGTATGTTTTTCCAAAAAATTTCAAAATTTAGTTCTCTCTCAACTTTTTTAAATAATCAATCCAAAAAAGTAATTTTCCCTCTATTTTCTGTTGGTATGTGATCAATGGGTAATAATTATTTTATGTGATATGAAGACCTCCGTATTCAAATCTTTTTTTATTACTACAAAAATATCTTCTATATAACTAACCCAAATTTTCGGAAAATCACCGTAAGTGTGTTTTAAATTTGATTCGAACCTACTTAAGTAAAGTTCTACTAAAAATAATGATAGTGAATTTTTCATTGCTGTGTCCTCAGTTTGCTCATAAAATTTGTTTTAAAACTGAAAAACATCTTGACCCATATATAGCTTTGTTAAATTAATAATCTTATTTATTTTATCCTGTTCTATGTTTTGTTCTTTTAGTCAGTCTTTAATTGTTATATTTTTCAGAATACTTGGAAATAAGGCTATTAAGTCAAAAGATATTTATCTATCATCATTCAGAATAGTATAACTAGATAATTTTTAAACAAAGTCAATATTATTATTAACTGAAATATAATTATTTGATATTTAATATATCAACATATTTTTAAAATATAATAGATTTTGATATCTCATCTAATAACTAATATTGAATAAATATACCTTAAATGTACAGTTAAATTACATAAATTGATTTTTTGACTTAAAGTTGTTACCTACCATCTTACTATTATAATTCATTTAGATAGTAAAAATAAAAACGAAAAACTTATATATGTAGTTGGATGATGATAAGCGTTTGGTAATTTACTCATTTGCTTCTCATAAAAACTTTTAATTTATTAAACTCAAATATACTCCACTTAAGAGTATATTAATTGATTTTGTGGTTATTAAATATCTTTTTTTAGGTTAATCATATTCCATTAGATGGTAATTTGGTTTGGTATCCAGAAATGTTTGTTATGCATTATATAGGTGATCTATTAAAACCCAATAATACAAAAAAAAAACAAGATAATTTAGAAAAATGTTCTTTGGAACTTATGGATGTTACAAAATTTTTTCCAAAAACAGCATTAAGTTATATTCAGCAGGTTTGAATTAAATTTAAACAGTATTATTTTTAAACTTAAAATTTGTAAGTTATTATTTTTAATAATTTGATTTTAGGCAATGATATGGTTTACTAAAAGTGAACAAGTTATGACAAATGACTTTCAGTTACTTAAACCAGAAAACATTGAAGATATTTGTGATATTCTATATGAGGTACGTATTTTAATAAACTGGAATTCAATAAAATTTCAATGTTCCTCTCAAATCTTTAAGCAGAACAGAAACGGAGATGTATCTGACAAAAATGAAAATATTTTGTCAAATACTTTTAGAATAAAATGGATTAAAATATTTTTTTACTATAACTACATATAGTTATACTATAGATAGGAATACTATAGATTGTAAATTTGCCTAAAATCGAAAAATGACACTCAATACTCTATACAAAGGGAGGATTCAAAAATTATTATCAAATTTTAAGAAAGTGATCTCTATAACATATATTTCTATCTTTTTTACTACTTAATAGTCAATATTTTGATTGATTATATCAATCAAATATTCTATCTATAACTTCAGTAGTATGATTACAATAGATCTTAAATTAGCTAATATTATACTATGAATTATGTCTTACGCTAGTTGCTATCCTTGTAGATGATGTGATGCTGAAAACACTAAACTTCATGAAGTTGAAATTAACAGAACAATATGCGAGTTAATACAAAACTTATCTAATTAGGTTGCAGTGGTTGCAGATAAAAGAAATGTATAATTTTTATAAATTGTATTTATCTCACTATACTTAACACAAAAATTGATAGGCTATTTCTTGGCATTTAACTATCTTTTGAGCTCCATTCTTTCTTCGTTTAATGATAAATTATTAATTTATATCCATGCATAAAGAATTAAAAAATGATTTAGAAAAATGGGTAAAACTATGTTATGTAGAGAAAAAATAGCTGAGGTGACTCTTCAAGGTTAAATAGAAATTCATGTCAAAAACCCTAAAGATTGATTTGTTAAAAAGAGACTCATTGAATTGTTTGAAGTATTTCAAAGTTTTAATAAAGTTGTAGATGCCTATTTCAAAGTAAAATTATGAAAAATTCAAGGAATACAATTATTATTATTTATTTATAATTTACAAATAAATTTCTCACTTATAAGTACTCATTTTGAAAATAGTAAGAATTTTTTCAAAATTAGATAAAAATTGACCTATTTTTGATGTTTTAAAATTATATTTGTCTAAAAATGAGATAATGATATTTAATAAGAAAATGAAAATTTTATTTTATATTATAGTTTAACCTACAAAATTAATATAAATATTCACGATTATGTATCTTTAAAAAATCTTAAAATCACTTATTGTAAAAGATCTCAAAAAAATATTTTCGTATTTATCAGAAACATCCCTATTTATATTTTGCATAAAGCTCATAAATAGATTAAAGAGGTACATTGAAATATTAAACACTCACTTAAGCACGCCATAAATGAACAACCAAAGTTAAGGTTATAAATAGATAAAAATAAATTTATTTTTAAAAGTTATATATCTAAACTTAAAAATCATTCAAAGGAAAAAATGCTTAAATAATAATTTTTATATTTTAGGGTGTTCAGTTGTGTTTCTTTATAAAGAATGTGATAATAACTTTTACAAACTTACACAGTACTTTAGGAAGACCACTTACTAAATCCAATGTTATCTTAGTATGCCAATTGTTTGAAACATTAAATAACATTGGATACATATTTCATAAAAATCATATTAAAACATCTAAGTTAATAACAGATATTGTACAATATTTGGAACACAGGTGCCTTTCAATCATAGGAGAAGTAAAAGTATGAAAATAAGTTTATTAATTATTATTTAGGTTTAATAAGTATATACAGGGTGATTGATTAACTATGCCTCAAATTTTAAAACACTTATTATTAATTAATAACAAATGAAATTTTATTTTATACTGACAGCTAAAATTATAATAAAACATTTGAATTTAACTCCAGTAATTAACTAATAATTTAATGAACTAAATGATGAGGAGTATATGCAACGATTATCTATATATGGCGCCTAAAATCCTATTAACCATAACCATTAAACTCAATTTGGTCAGTCATCTAGATAGTCTGACCACACTTAAATAAAGATAATCTCTTAATAAGTTTCTATATAAAAATAAAATTTTTATTGAACAATTTTTTTTTAGCTAACTTTTTGTGATGATAAAGTTTTTTCTACAAAATATGTTGACAGAATGTCTTCTTTGGAAGTTTCTGAAAAGTTACTGTGTGAAGCAAATATGAATCATCGTTTATTAATGATTAAGTTAGCACTAAATACAGCTGTAGGATTACAAGCTTTTCAAAAAGGTGAACTATTGTCTTTGTCAAGCCATTTAAAAAAAATTGAACTATTTTGTTACTTGCAAGATAAAATAAATTTTATATCAGAAATAAGTTGTATGTATTGGCACCGAGTTGTTTTTCCTTTATATTTTAAAAATGTTTATAAAGAACATAGGAATTTTAATGGATTATCAGTAAGTTGTATTTTGTAATATTGATATATTTTTCATAAAAATGTGTTAAAAAATAACTGAAACATTTTTTTTTATTTAGACAGTTTTTAATGTTTTAGAAGATATTTATGAAGTCACTCATTATAGTGATAATATTACAAAACAAAAATCTTTTGAATCATTTGTTAATGAAACTCATAAATACCTTAACGACCAGGTAACAATTTAATTATTCATTCTATATAAGTATTATAACTATTTAAAATAAATATTGTATTATATTATTGTGAAATTATGTATGTATTAATATAAATTATCGATATTCAAAGATTTTAAAGCCCTTGAATCCAAGTGTTGAAAATGAATTACGTCTTCATGTTATGACCCAAGTACAATTTGTCAAAATGGTACTAAATGAACCAATTGATAAAAATATATATATGGTAAAATTACAACCTATACAGTTTTTGAATACCATAATCAACACCAAAAGTATAGAATGTATAATTTAACTATAAAAATTTTATTTTTCATTTTTTATTTTAACTTTACAGATAGAGTAGAAAATTATCTTAGTGAGACATTTTATGATTTAACTTCTGTTGCTTTACATGATTGGCAAAATAATGGTGTTATGAGAACACTGGCAAAGTATAAAATGAATTTAGAAACTATCGATGATAAATTACCCAGCAAAACATTAGAACAAGTAAATTTAAAAACAAATTACTGAAATCTGAATTACAACATTTTATTTTAATTATGTTTCTGTTAAGTCACAAAAATTATATTGTTAATAGTAATACTGGTAATAAGTTTGGCAATCTGTTTTCCTATGTGTACTGATACTAGTAATTTATCAATCATATAGTTTAATTTTTTGTCGTTGAATAACAACCACTGTTTTTTTTTTGTGATTAATTGACTATAAATCTTAAAGATTATCACCTCATTTATTTTGAAGATTACAATAACTACATAGGCTGATATCAAAAATCAATGACCACTTTTCAAAAAGATTTTAATACATTGATTAAATTTTTATAAATATAATATTTGACTCTACCTTATTTCTTGTTCTTTAAAAATGTTTATATTGAAATTGCAACTTTAAAAGAAGTGTGTACTATTTAAAAAAAAAATGTGTTAATAAAAATAAATACATATATAGAGTGTAAAAAAAAATTAATTTTGATATAATACATTTTTAAAAAAGTTACTGATAAATGAATTAAAAAAAAAAAAAAAAATTCATTAAAACCTATTCATTCTGATGTATTGTAATATTTAAATCATGCAAATGACTGCTTTAAATTAGAAAACTTTGCTGAAAAATTAACATAAAAATTTTGTTTTATAGTATATTTTTCAGCAAAATTTATAATAAATATAAGAAATATAATAAATAAGAAATTAAATTTTAAAATGTATGAACAGAATTGTAGAAGGCAACGTGATACCATTGCACTTATAAATTTCCTAAGATATACCAATCCAATTGGTATTTACCAACCTAACTGTTGTAAAACAAAAAACAAATTATCTTTTAATATAATATAAAATCACCATAACTAACAAGTTAGTATTAATAATTAATAGAGGAATATATAAGGTGTTTCAAATTTATTTTTAAAACGTATATCTTTTAGAGGTGGTAATTAGCTGCCTATTGACTCCAGATCTGTTAATCATCGTATGTAAAACTCTATTTTAATAGTTAAATGAACAGTTCATTGTAAATTAATTAAAATTAATTGAATGTTTATTCAAGAATATTAAATGTTCTTTTTTCACATTATCTAATTTATCAGTTATGTTCTTAGTGTCTCAGAAATATAAATACTACATAATTGTAAACCAAACTTGAAATATTAAAAATATATCATAAGTTATGTTTACTTAGGGTTTAGATGTACTTGAAGTTATGAGAAATTTAAACGCATTTGTGTCAAAATTTTCATACAATCTTAGTAATCAAATATTTATTGAAAATGATAGTGCTAGCAAGCATTTGAATACAATTAACATTAAACATGTGAGCAATTCTATTCGAATTCATGGTACAGGAATCATGAGTACAACAGTAAGTAAATACTATGCATTATACATAACTGTATACAATTATTGAATATAAATAATATAAAAATATAATTTGAATAGATCTAATAAATAAATTTTTCTGTGATTATATTTATATATTTGATGGAAATATTATAAATTTTACTACATTCAGAATTTTTTTTTGATTTTTAAAATTAGGATTCCTAAAATCTAGAAAGAGTGAATTTACCGTATTTTTCTTTTATCTGTAGGAATATTTGCATGCTTAAAATAAAAATCTAACTTGTGATATCATTGTTGAAACAAATTTATTGTAATTTATTTTAATAACATAAAATTTTAATTATTAAATTCAATAATGCATGTTTTTATTATTATTCTTTTATTTTAGGTTAATAAAACATATCAACTACTTCGCAGTAAACTTAACTTATTATCTCAATATTTATTTGATGAACGTATTAAATCAAAACTAAAAAAAGAAATAATGTACCTTCACGAATCACAAAAAATAAATAGCAGTATTAAATATCCTTTTGACAGAGCTGAAAAATTTAATTCCCGTCTTCGAAAATTAATTTTAATTTCTGAACAGAATTGTATGGATCAATTTAGAGTTTTAGTTACACATATTGGTAATAAAATAGTTATGTTTAATGTAAATATTTTAATCATTAATTATTCTAACTATTCTCATAAATAAGGGAGAAAGATAGATGGAAAGTAAGAATAGGTATGTGGTATATTGGAACATTAACTGCTAGAAGTAGAGAATTAGTAAAAGTATTGAAAGGAGAAAATTAAATTTGTTGTGTGCATGAACTAAGTGGAAGAAAGGAAAAGTAAGCAGTTTTTTCCTTTAACAACCAATAGAAAAGTATAGGGATTAAAGAAAAAGCTGTGTATGATATTTATAGATTTGGAGAAAGCGTATGATAGACTATAGAGGGAGGTAATAATGAGGTAATAAAAGAGTTCCAAAAAAGGAAATGAATTTAAGAGAGGATATGTATGATGGCACAAATTTTACGGTAAGAGTAAGAGTATACCAAGTTCTGCTTTAAGCCCTTACTTATTTTCTATAGTGATGGATGACATTAGACAAATACAAAGAGAGGTACCATGGTGCATTATGTTTACTGGCGATATAGTGTTAATAAGAGGAAATTAATTAAAGACTAGAGGTGTGGAGATCAGCTATTGAAGGAAAGGGATTAAGAATAAGTAGGAATAAGACAAAAGATCGAGTACGAGTGTGACAAAAAAGAACATGTGGTAGGTAAAATGAGAAGATAAGTGAAAATAAGTGAGGTTGTGATAGGAGAAGTGGAAAGTTTTAAGTATTTAGAATCAGTTGTGTAAAAGAACGGTAGTATTTACAAGGATGTAAAAAACCAGATTAAGTGTGGGTGGGTGAAATGAAGAGAAGTGTTTGCTGTATTGTGTGATAAGAGTATTCCAATAAAATTTAAAAGTAAGTTCTATTAAACTATACTGAGACTAGCTATGATGTATGGTTCAGAGTGTTGGGAAATTGATAAGAAAGTAAAATAGAGAATGTTTAGTTGGTTAGGTGGAGCGACTAGAGAAGATAAGATAAGGAACGAACATATAAAGGAGAGTATAGGTGTGGCGCCAATCGTGCATAAGATGAGAGAAAATAGACTTAGATGATTTGATCATGTTATGAAAAGAAATGAATTGGAAGCTGTGAGAACAGTTATGGAAATGAACATTGAAGGGAGTAGAGGTAGAGAGGAAGATCCAAAAAAAAAGATGGAGGACTGTATTTGAATACGTTAACATTACATTTGACTGGGACTGATATGTGCATAAATGATGTGGAAATCATATCAAGTGAAAGTTTAGGATAAGGGTGGTCGGCCCCAGGTAGTTGGGATAAATAAATGTGAGGAAAAAAAAGAAGAAGAATTATTCTGACAGGAGGGACAGCTTATTTCTAATTTTTTCATATTTCTAAATTATATTATGTAATATAAATAACATTTTCATTTATTTTACTAAATTTTCATTACTTTTTTAATACATGGTACCAGATAACTGAGCTTTATGTATTATAAAATTAGATATATTTTATTGTATATTTTTATATACAATTTTTTGTATTTAATCTTTTTTTTTTCGATTAGTCTGTTACTAAAAACATTTTATATTTTGTAATTTAATTAATATTTTTAATACCTTAATGACTTATTTTCTGACAAATATTATATTAATGTTTTCTTTCAGGAAATGCTTTAGGGTATGTTAGAATGATAAAAACAGGCGGTCTTCATTTTTCTTCTGTAGCAACCTCATTTATTCCAGATTTAAAAAAGGTAATTAAATTTGAAGAACTGTGTAAAATAGCAAAGTTTTCAGAAAGTTGTGTAAAATCTGGACATCATCTTGATAATGTGATTCAAAATATGTGTCAAAATATTGCAGAAGGCACAAATTATTTTAAAGTATGAATATTAAAATAAATGATTATAGCAATATAATAATTGAAACAAAGCTTCTTAACAGAGTTTAAATGGGTAGTAAAAAAAAAAAAAATTGTCTGTACACCCATATAGACATCCACATAAATTTGTTTGTCATATTAAGTTTGCTAGCTAAATTTTATTTTATTGATTTAAAATTTAACAAAAATATAAATCAATTAATATTTAACCCCCAAATTAATTATACCTCCCATACAGCAAGTTATTGGTCAAGTAAATCAGAAAGTAAAAAGATTTCAGCTTCAAATATTGAAAATTAATAGTATACATACAATACTTGAGAATTTATAAAAAATACATTACTTTAAGAGTATTAAATTATGCATACATTATATTCAATTACATAAGAGTTCACAAAGTAGTCAATAGTATGTTTTTTGATAGAGTTTTAAAGAGCATTATTAATTATGATAAAAAAAATCTTAAAAGAAAAGAAGAATTGAACAAATGAGAAGAACTCTATTTTACTCTTTAAGAAATCCACTTTGAAAGAGAACTTGTTCATAAATACAAAGAACAAAACAATTTATAATATAAAAGCATATAATAGAATTGTCATTCAGTTATAATTAGCATACTATTTAGTTTTTTTAGAAGCCTATTTTGGCTAATATTAATCATAGCAACCAAGATTATAGATGTGTTTTGTAAGTGTATGTTTTTTAGTTATGCTATCTATATTTAAAAATACATAAATCCATTAATTTATTGAGATTTCTTATTGAGAAATTTGTATTATAAGTCTTTATAATAACTATGTTTTATTGAATTTATTATATAAACATTTTAATAAATCATATCTTATTTATACATATCATTTAATTAGCTATTAACTTAATTTTTTAATACCATTGTTTCTACATAAGGCTATTATTTGTAAATATTTCATACTTCATTGATACAAATACAGTTTAAAATCTTTAAAAATGTGTATGTATAGTTATATCTAACTAACATTTGTATTGTTAATGTCTTAATTATTTTTTTGTTCATCCGTCTAAACCAGTGGTCGGCAACCGGCGGCCCGCGGGCCATATCCGGCCCGCGTGGCTATTGAATACGGCCCGCTTTAAATTCTAAATCGACTAATTTAATTGAATATCATTTTGTATAAATATAATTGAACGTTGCGTTTTTGGTACGGGTATTTTATATAAGTCATATTATTATTTTAAGTTTTAGATAGTATTTTTTTGCATAATAAATAATGTAATTATAAATTTTTTTTTTTTATCTGGCCCGCGAACTCTTTTTAATTTGTAAATGTGGCCCGAGAATTAAAAAAGGTTGCCGACCACTGCTCTAAACAATTAAGAAGCTTTGTTTTTCATATGCGTCAAAAATCAGATACACATATTTGATTTTTTATCTGTTACATTATAAATAATATTTTTTTTAGAATTATTTAATATTTTTATTAATTTTATTTTTCAGTTATTAATTGATGTTTTTATCCAAGTCATGGGTTCTGAAAATTATAGTCATTTACGAAACTTTTACATTCTTATACCTTCTTTAACTTTAAATTTTATTGAACATTCAATTAACTCAAAAGAAAAAATGTATAAAAAAAGTAAAGGTGCCATGTTCACAGATGATGGATTTGCAGTTGGTATGAATAATATACTTGTTAAGAAATTTAAAAATTAGTCTTGTTATTAATCCCTTTATGATTAAATAAAAAAATGAAACTATACAATCTGTACATGAGAATTAAAATTTTTGTCAGGTTTAGCATATCTCTTGCGTATTTTTAATTTGAATAATGAATTCAGTTCATTAAAGTGGTTTCAATCAGTAACTGAAAACTATGAAAAAAAAATGAACGTTTTAAAAAGTCAAGAAATGCAAGCCCTAAAGGATGATTCAAAGTTACAACAACCCTTAAGTTTATCTTATTCAAGACTTCAAATATATTACAATGTAATAATATTACAAATATTAATGAATAGTTTTATAATTCATTTATTTACTGTCCGTTTTTTTTTTATTTCAGGAGTTCTTGTTACTATCCTACAATATAAATAGTGCCAGAATATTTTTTCAATCTCGAAATAATAACTAGTTTTATATTTCATTTTAATATTATTGAAGCTGTTGTTAATTTATTAATTAAATTTTTTATCTTTGTATGTTTATAAAATAATTTATTGTTATCATCAAATTATTACAAAAATTATAATGATGTACTAAAATATTATTTTTATATATTCGAAAGTTATTAATAAAACATTTTACTTATTTAAATTTACAATTGTTTATCTTCTTAAAATAGAGAATCAATTTAGTTTAAAATATGTAATTTTATTTCTTTTGTCGTCTAAAGTATCTTAATAAATAAAAAAGTTCACCTTTAATACTTTTAATGAACGTTTGAAGGTGTTGCATTCTCTATGAAATCGTCCCTGATTAAGAAATATTTGAGTACATGCTTTTAAATTAATATTGCTCCGAAAAAAAATTATTTTTTATTACAAGGAGTTTGCCAGAGATAAATATGATTATTTAATAACAATTTTCAAAAATTAAGAAGTTACTGTTCTCAGAGCCGTTTTTGCAATTAGGCCGAAGCTAATTGTAAGCTAACCTATGAATTTATTCTTAAAAACATTTATTTTCATTGCTTATTACCAAAAGAATTTTATAACTCCTGTAGTTAAGCTCTAATTTTTATTCCAATTAATTGCTCTTTTTATGCTATTTAAAAATATGCAAAAATAAAATGTCGGAGAAAAACATTTAAAAAAATGGTAGCCAGAGGTATGATCAGGATTAAAATTTAGGACAGACCCAGTTATAATTATGGTAATTTATACCCATAATACCCGGGTTCGCGTTTCTTTTTTTTTATTATTATTAAAGACTGTACCAAAAAAGAAAGGACTAGAACCTTATTTTTTATAAGTTTTTGCTTTTGTGTTTAAGTTCTCTGACAAATTACTTTAAAGTAACGATTGGGACTGAGTTCTTGTCATGTATGACAAAAGCATTTCGGATTTTATAAGTTAGGGTTTCAGTCCGAAAAATTAATTTAATCATTTGCTAGAGGCGTTCACAAGATTTTACTCTAGTAGTATATGCATAAGAATTTTTTTTATTATTGTGTGGAGATATGTGAAAATTTGTAATTTGTTTGATTTTTCTCCAAAATATTCTTCTATATGCTTTGTTACGACGGCAAAATATGATCTATTTCTAGCCAACTAAAATTTCACACAATTATAGTTGGCCGAAACAAATGAGATTTACTATATAAATCTTATGATCCTTTACAATAAAAAATAATATTTATGACATGAATTAAAACAAAAATTCGTAGTGATATAATGGTATTTAGTACAAACGGCATGACTCCCCTAATTACATAAATATACATGTACCGCATTGCTAACGATAAGCACGAGACCATTATCAAAATAATATCAAAAAGAGAAAACTGAAAGGATGGTGAATGTGCTGGCATTTCCATAAGATCTTGTGATTAGAAAAATAAAAAAGACGTTTAAGTAGTGCTTGAATATTTAAAATTTACTGGTAAGTGCTTATTAGAAGTTAACTGTGTCAATTATTTTCTTTTAATACTTTATATTATTAATACAATTTTAAAAATACTAGACTAATTTTTTTAATAAAATGTGTTTTTTTAAAAATAACTATGTAATCCTTAGTTTAAATATTACTCTAAAATTTAGTAACTATGTACCATAAATTGTTTAAGGAATTAATAGTATATTTTTTAAAATATGCATTTAAATTTAAAATTTTATATATTTTCTTTAAATTTAAAATTATATAACTCATTATATGATCCATCAATGAAAAGAAAACTCATCATTCCTTCTCCAATATAAATGTACAGTTTTTTTCTAAGATAAAAAATTTAATTTAAACATGTCATTTTTATTTTATTGCACATGTTATTAAGCAAAAAAAAATTTTAGCTCTATGTAACTATCAGAACCATCACTAGTTAAATTAATCTCAGTTATGAAAGAATTATTGTGAACACTTTTAATAGCATTCATTTTTTTAATTTGAATTTATTCTTTGCAGTTTTTAATTAAAATAAGCAAATAATTGCTTCCAAAATGTCAACCACTGATGCTAACAAAAAGAAAAAGAAACCAACAGCAGTGCCTGTCAAAGATAAAAAAGGACCTGGTAAAAAAGCTATTGCAGCTTTAAAAGAAGCATTAGCACAACAAAAGGAAGAAGAAGAAAAACTTCGCCGTGAAGAAGAAGAAGAAGAAAAACGTATAGAAGAACTTGAAAAACAAAAAGAAGAAAAATTGAGACTAGAGCAAGAAAAAAAGGAAAAAAAGAAACAGAAAGAAAAAGAAAAGAAAGAAAGGTTAAAAGCTGAAGGTAAATTCTTAACTCCTAAACAAAAAGCTGATAGAGCACGGGCCCAATTACTTCTTGAAACTTTTAAGGCTCAAAGTGAAGCTCTAAGAGCTCAGTCAGTTGTTGATAAAGTAGATGAAAATGGAGAAGAGTCTGAAGAATCTGATGACGAAAATAATGAAAACTCTAAAAATGTAAATAATATTATTAAAAATGAACAAATCATTAAGGATAATAGTGAGCCTGTTAAAAAGGAAGAAGAACATGATTTAAGAGCTGCAGTTGTATGTGTTTTAGGTCATGTAGATACTGGTAAAACTAAAATATTAGATAAACTTCGAAGAACCAATGTTCAAGATGGAGAAGCTGGTGGTATTACACAGCAAATTGGTGCTACAAACGTTCCACTTAGTGCTATTAAAGAACAAACAAAAGTTGTCAATGGATTTGCAAATAAAACATTTTTAGTTCCTGGTTTATTAATTATAGACACTCCTGGTCACGAGTCTTTTAGCAATCTTCGTAATAGAGGATCATCATTATGTGATATTGCTATTTTAGTTGTTGACATAATGCATGGCTTAGAACCTCAAACAATTGAATCTATAAATATTTTAAAGAGTAAAAAAACACCATTTATTGTAGCATTAAATAAAATTGATAGACTTTATGATTGGCAAACTAATCCACGAAAAGATGTAAGAGATATTTTAACTTCGCAGCATCCTAACACACAAAATGAGTTTAAAACACGATCACAAAATGTCATTGTTCAATTTGCTGAACAAGGTTTAAATGCTGCTTTATTCTACGAAAATCCTGATCCAAAAACATATGTATCATTAGTACCAACATCAGCCATAACAGGCGAAGGAATGGGCAACTTATTAGATTTAATTGTTGAGAACTGTCAAACACATTTGTATAAAAGACTATTATTTAGTGAAGAATTACAAGCTACTGTATTGGAAGTAAAAGCAATTACAGGATTAGGAACTACTATTGATACAATTTTGGTTAATGGTTATCTGAGAGAAGGAGAAACTATCGTTGTTGCTGGTACTGATGGTCCTGTTGTAACTCAAATCAGATCATTATTAATGCCTCAACCCTTAAAAGAATTAAGAGTAAAAAATGCATATGTAGAATATAAAGAAATAAGAGCTGCTCAAGGAGTAAAAATTGCAGCAAAAGAATTGGAAAAAGCTATAGCAGGGTTAAATATTTATGTTGCTCATAAACCTGATGAAATTGAACGTTTAAAGGAATTAGTCTCCAAGGAGTTAAAATCGGCCCTTAGTACAATTAAATTACAAGATAGAGGTGTATATGTTCAAGCATCAACATTAGGTTCATTAGAAGCATTATTAGACTTTTTAAGATCTAGTAAGATACCTTACAGCAATATAAGAATAGGTCCTGTTGTCAAAAAAGATGTTATGAAAGCTTCAATCATGTTGGAACATTCACCATTGTATGCCACTATATTGGCATTTGATGTTAAAATTGAGAGAGATGCTCAAGAATTGGCTGATTCTTTAAACGTTAAAATATTCCAAGCAGATATAATATATCATTTGTTTGATAAATTCACTGCATACCAAGAAGATTTAAAAAGGAAAAACCGAGAACAATATAAGTCTGTGGCTGTTTTTCCTTGTAAGCTCAAAGTTTTACCTCAATTTGTATTTAATTCTCGAGATCCAATTGTTATGGGAGTAATAGTTGAGTCTGGTATAGTAAAGGAAGGTACTCCTTTGTGTGTTCCTAGTAAAGAATTTGTAGATTTGGGTATTGTTACTAGCATAGAAAATAATCATAAGCCAGTAGAATCTGCTAGAAAAGGACAGGAAATTTGTATAAAAATTGAACCCATACCCGGTGAAGCACCAAAAATGTATGGAAGACATTTTGATGAAAAAGATTTACTGGTAAGCAAAATTACAAGACAGTCAATTGATGCATGTAAAGATCATTTTAGAGATGATTTATTGAAGACTGATTGGCAATTAATGGTTGAACTTAAAAAATTATTTGAAATTCTATGATTTAAATTTTATCATAATAAATTGTAAAGATTATATTTTTAAATATAACTTAATTAATTGAAAAAAATAATTGGTTATGGTTTTATACATGTTGGTATTATTTGAATTGTTACAGATGTGGCCAAAAAATAAGTTATTAAAATATCTGAATTGTTTTACTATGTACATTAACTCAATAAATATTTTGAGATATTCTTTGTTCGTAAAATTAAAAATCATGTACCCCCTAAATCAGTAATAGCCATAGTAATGACGCACCGATTTTTGTAAAAGTTACATGAATCTAACTTGCATTAAATATAAATTTAAAGTTATTTTAAATATCTTGCCTGCTCTAAGTTTAGATAAACGAATTTGAATTAGTTTGATATTCATTTTTAACTCCCAACAATTGCGATTTACTGTTTCCGCATCGTTAATACTACAGTCTGCCACGTTCGGGGTACGAGGTTCGAACTCCATTCATCAAAATGATTTTGTTTGCGTTTTTTTCGAAAAAAGATTCAAATTTGACTTGATTTTTATTTCATTTTGATTGAATAACTTCAATGAATATAAAGGACCACATCACTGTAACCTCTCTTGTGAGAAAGAGTTTCTTAATCATATTAAAATATTTTACTATATAGTTTTTTTTATATTTCATTCATTTTTCTCAGCTTTCACTTGATCAATTTTTTTTAAAAAAATACATCAAATGATCGTAAATAGTGACTAGTTAAAGATATTTACCTCAAAATTTGGAAAATGATTTCTCCATTTTTAAATGAAAAATTGTTTAACCAAATTTCTCCATTTAGACAATTAAAATTATTAATTTCTAATATTTTTAAAATATATATAGTCGAATTAGGTTTGATAAGATAATAAGGGTTCAATTATAAAATAAAATAATTTTATTTTGTAATATATTAATTTATTAACTCTATTTTTGTGTATGTAACTATCAGTCTATAATATTCCAAATATTTTCGTAAGATGTTGCTTATAAATCATTAAAAAAAAAATGATACTTAGTTTCAACTGGGTTTAACAATGGATTTTTACAATTAAAATCAAATTTTATAATACGAACAAAAGAGTAGATTTTTCTAACAACTATTTTATTGTTTTTCTAGTTTTCTTGCGAATTTAAGAAGGTATTGGTGTTGAAGATTCTGTGCGTTTTTTTCTTTGTATTTCCATAAAAATTCTCAGTTCTCATTGGACCAATTTTAATGATCAATACGTCAAAAGAACACGATTTTAATCAAGTTGAACTTATAATCACCAAATATTTGAAAAAACTCCTTGATTTTAGAAATTTAGACTAATGTCTTAAAATTACGCTACTGTAAAAAATGGCAACTTCAAAGAAACTTTTTTTAATTAAATATCTCCAAAAATAATAAGAGTAAAATTCGTTTCTATACTGAATTACACAGTAAAATCATATTTCTAAAATGAAACAAATTTTTAATGATATAGATCAATATATACTTTACTAAACCAAATTTCTACGCTGATTTTAAATCTGAAATTGAATTATTTCTATCACCTTTTTTTAGCAGGGTTGTTACCTTCGTATCGCTGTTTTTTTAAAACGCTAAAAGTGTCAACATTTACATTGATACGTTTTATTAATTGTTTAAAATTGTTTGTTTATGTTATAAACAGATTTTTTTTTAAACATGTTTTTAACATCCCTGCTTTTTGAGTTTATTACTAATAAGAAAGCGAATATTTACCCATGAAAAATTTAATTAAAACAAAATAAAAAATTATATTAAGTTATTATTGATTTTTTTAAAATTAAAAATAATTCGTGCAAAATTGCAATATAAAATGCCATGCTTAACCTATTTTTTTGTTTATTAAAGTTTATTTTCATAAATGTTTATTATTTAAAAATATTGAACTTTTAAACACTATTTTAGCTCCATTTACAAGTTTAAAATTGATATCCTCAAATAGTCAATTCATATGGAATCTAAGATATTTTTTTTGAGAAACCAAACCACCTTACTATTTTTGATGGCGTGAGAAATATTTTTTAATAATAGACTTTTTTTTGGTTTTCAAATTTTTATTAATATTATTAATTTACCAACAAAGGTAAATACTTGTCCTGTTGATGTATTTTTATTTAGATTGAATGGACAAACTCTTTTATAATAATTCACTATAGATTTATAAATTAGAATTTTCAATAACAATTTTAACGTTTGAAAATTTTAATTTTTGCATAGGTACCATTTAAATAATTATCTGTTGGCGCTTTATGTACTGTTTATTAACCTCCACTATGGAGTTACTTGCGTGGTTACAACGTTGCATATTATTTTAAACAAAATCGTTTATAACTTCATTCATGTACTACTCTTATGAGTACGCCGGTCCGTCACCATCCGGTAAATTTTTTTGCTGTACCTAAACTGCATGATTTATCATCTGTCGTTTGCGGAATCTACTCGCGTGTGTGTTACTCGCTGTGAGATCATTGGACTTTTTTACCTCGAAGATATAATTGTTACATTTGTGTTATTCGCACATTTTTGTTGTTTTTTGTTAATAACAATCAATAAATTATAATAATCGCACAAAATGTCTTCTTGGCAAGATTACGTTGACAAACATTTGTTGGCCAGTAAATGCGTTACCAAAGCTGCAATCGCCGGCCACGACGGAAGTATATGGGCTAAATCTGATGGGTTTGATGTGAGTGTTGCAATGCTTAATTAATCATGTCGTAAAGTATCAATTTTTATCTTGAAATGAAATAAAAGGATTTTCTATGATGTATTTCCAATTCGAACCTTTGCGTTATAATTTTCTCTTATCAGTTCAGAGATGTAATAGGGCGCGTCTAGCCTTGCTAACAGCTTTTGAAAGATTGTACGTTTAAAAATCTTGCTTACATCCACGTCATTTAAACACAAGCGTTAAGTGTTATTTATAGATGTTATTGATAAAATTATTAATAAGAAAATACGATTTTAACAATATTAATATTTTAATTTGTCTAATTTTCAGTTATCTATTTCTTTAAATTATTTTTACTTAAAAAAAGAGCTCTATAAAATTTTTTTATAAGGTTGGATTAAATTTTTTACTGTTAGGATATAAATATATAAGTACAAAAGGTACTCATGATGTAACCAAACAGAACTTCACACTTTCCCATAATATAAATATTTTTTTCTTTTGACTATAAAATTTGAACATTTTTATCACTACCTCATTGAGTTAGTATTTAGAAAAAATTGACAAAAAAAAGTTCTATCCTGAAAAATTATTTATTCTATTTTAAAAATAATGTTAGTACGATAGTATGAAACTAAGTTATTATTCAACAACTCTAATTCTTACACCATTTAAAAAAAATTAATAATCATAAAATCTTAAAAACTTAATTTAAAGTTTAATCAACTATTTCATTGGTTTGGGAACCCAACATAATACCTCAAATAATTTCTTATTACATTAGCTTTCTATTTACAATTTAATTTCTTATAAATTACGTCCATAAAATTTTAATAATAAAATAAAAAAATTTTATTTTTAAGTAATTATTATTTTTTTACATTATGGTACAATTATATTAAACTAAATTTAATACTATTCATACATTTTAAATCTGGTACAGTATAATCTGTAATCCAGTTACATTTAATGTTGTTTTAATGGGTTACTGTATATACTCATTTTTGATTTTTAAATTAAAGTATTCTATATAAAAATTCTACAAATACATACGCATACGCTTACATATTCTAATAACTTTAAGTTAAATAAAAATTATTATCCCATCCAGTTTATACATTCAATATGTAATTTTGTATTTTTTGCCAACATTCCTCTTTTTATAATTTAAATAAAAAAAGACATAGATATCTTTGATTTTGGACTTGCAAATCTCTAACATTAAGTTTACTCTATGGCATTTTTACAAAAACACTTCTGGTTATTTTTTATCAAAGCAATTATTCTATAGTCAACTCATTAGATACTTGTCCTGCATATTTTTGTAGCTATACTTTCACACTGAAAATCAACTTTTTAGCTTTTTATAATAAATTCAAAAAATAACTTGTGCTATTAAAATTGTAATACTTTCATGTTAATCTAATTTTGCAAGTAAAAAATAAAAATAAAGAATATATATATATATATATATATATATTTTATATGCCTGTCCACGGATTGTGCCTTTAGTGCCAAGACACTACATGTAAAATTTGTTAAAATTAATTATTTATTTTGTGTATTGTGTAGATACAGCTAAATAAAAAAAAATTCAGAGATGTAGATCTTTCTCCTTAAAAATTATTTTATGTAATATTGGTATAATGGTTTTTTACTTTTTGTGAAAAATGGAGAAAAGTCTAAATGCCTTTTGTCCCCGTTGAACCCCTCAGGTACGCTCTGTAAAAAAGTTCAAGATACGCCTATATTATGTTTTTATAATAAATATAAAATATTTTTTTAAATTTTATAATCTTCTCATTATATTTTTTATTTTAGTGTTGTTATTAAAATAAGTATTACAATTAATTTAGGTGTCAAAAGAAGAACTAAGTAAAATAGCACAAGGCTTTGAAAATCAAGATACATTAACATCTTCTGGTGTAACATTATCAGGTGTTCGTTATATTTATTTATCAGGTACTGATAAAGTTATTAGAGCCAAACAAGGAAAAGTTGGAGCTCATTGTGTGAAAACACAACAGAGTAAGACATTATTATACGTTTAAAAATATGATTTTGGTGTTCTTGAACTTAAAATTTGGTTGTGGATAAATAGTGAACAATTTATTTATTTATTTTTTGTAGTGTGTCAGTTAAAACGCATAGTATTTGTTCATAAAAATACATGCAAATACTCTGAGAATTCAATAATTTTCATTAGCAATATGAGTGATTTTTCGTAGCTATCAAAGATTTTGTGATAAATTATTTTGATATGTGTGAAAAATTTGATGTGTTTATTAATAAATAAGTATTTAATTATTACTATTGTATAATATATAGATTCATATTGGAAATTTCTTTCTAGTCTAAAAATTCTTTAATTGGTTTCTTTAGTATGTTTAAAGTTATTAAGTAAAAAATTTTTTTTCATTTTTCATTTTAGGAAAAACATTTTTTTTAATTTTTAAAGAAAATATTTTTCGTTTATAATCCCTATAAAGTATAATGTTATTTCTAAATTTAATTATTTTTAGCAATTGTTGTATCATTGTACGAAGATCCAATTCAACCGCAACAAGCTGCATTAGTTGTTGAAAAACTTGGTGACCATTTAGTTTCTCATGGTTATTAAATATGTTGGCAAAATTATATTTTATATTACAATATAAGACAGATGTGATACTACTTAATCAACTTCTTTTTATATTATGTTTTTGATACATTCTATAATATTCATAATATAATAAATTTAAAGTAATAACTGTATTCCAATTTCAAGCTCATATAATGTTTTTATTCAACCTTAAAGCCCTTATAAAATCTTTTTGATATAGTTTTACTTGAAACCATTATTAAAAATATATCTTTAAAGTTTTCAATGCTAACTATATTTTCTAAGTACATTTACTTATTCAATTTTTAATCGTATTATGAGATATAGCAATATACTATTTTATAATAATATAATTTATAACTTAATTATATTATATTTTTTTTATATTTCTATATGGCCTATAGTGTTAACATGATCATTTTATTTAATTACGAAAGCAAAATTATTCAAAAAC